ATATTTGTAAATATTATATAATTCTTTTGCACAAGTAAAAGACTATATATGCACAAGCCGCAATTTTTGCAAGAAGTTCAAAAGTTAGGGAAATAAGATATGTATGTTTTTTTCCATGAAAAACAAATGTATGGTTATAATATTTTATCATCACCATTCATTCAAATATCAATATTTAAGTATTATGTACAATATAGGCAACTTTAAAAATGAGTACATAATTCAATCATAGTTTCTATACGTACATGCATGTATGTACCTACTTATTTAGTAATTTACTTCTGCCTAATATACTTAAGGGTAAGAGTACAAATGTAAATAAATATATGTACAAACGTAGGTACTTTTGCAATTTAAAAATGCTATTTACACAAAAAAAAAAATCTTTCCCGTCCGATAATTTTTTCCTTCTCTTATTTTTCCTCCTTTTTTTTATTATTTATTTTTGATAAGATATAATATTGAAGAAAGGGGCGGCTAATTCATTTGGCAAGCAATTCTATAGCGATTGACAATTTTAAAATAATTATTAAACATATAAGTATTTTTTTAACTATTCAGAGTTCGCTGCATAGTATTTTCAATTTTTAAAATACTTAAGGAATTTTTAAGTATGTATATTAACATTTTGTCAATAAATTATTCACTAATTTTTCATAGAATATTGTTATGTGTACTTGTTTCTTTTTAATTAAAGTGACCTATAATTATATTTCTCATATAGTAAACGAAAATATCGGAAAAACAAATAAAAAAATTCACTTAGTAATATCATTTTTTTATATAGAAATAATGATAAGATAGGAAGGATATTGTAATTCTTTATCTAGATAACGTACGTTAGATACTTTTGTTTTCCTATTAAACAGTAGAAAATATTGACTCATCATTCATATTATAAGTGTAGATACGTTACTATGTGTGCATGCATGTATGTATATGTACATACATATATTTGCATAATGGCATTATTATTACTATTAAAAATACTCAATATTAAGTTTTAATTTCAAATACTTATGGACTTAAATTCTTGAAGTAAATTTTAATTTTGAAGAAATTTATTTTTATGTCGCATTTATATTATCAAGAGATAACATTATGTACATATACACAATTTTACCGTTACATTATTATTTTAAATTTGTAAGTCAAGTTCTTGTAGCTGCCATATTAAAAAACTAAACTTTATGTTCCAAATTTCTCTTTACCTAATAAAATAATAAACAATGTTCTTAATTTAAATAAAATTATTGATAAATTTGTGCTGAATTTGAAAGCTACTGTAGCTAAAAAATTCAATGTTGAGAAAAATTCAAACATTAAATTTCAGATATTAAATTAATTTAGAAAAATCTTTTAATAGATTCGATAATTTTATATTTACGTAAGTAAATAAGTATGTAATTATTTACGGTACGTGGTTATTTAAAAACATTTACATAAATATATACATAAGTATGAAGGTATGACTACAGTTCCAAATTATTATTTTCATTTTCTTAACTTTCATTTTAAAAATTTTATTTTCAACATAGCGGTGATGACATCATGTTATTACTACAATCTAAAAACACGTTATTTTTCAAACTTGTTTACATATAAACATACATGTATACATACATATTTTCACAAAAACAATTTATATACATAAATACATACATAATTTTTACCCTTTTTAAACTAAATTCATATACATACGCATGTTTACTCTCAAAATAATAACGTTACAGAAAAATTCAACACCATTTATATTTTTATATGTATGTAATCACAAAATAATATTATATGATATTATATGACATATATATGTACATACTTATTAAGTTTTGCAGTTATGAAGTGAATAGGCGGATGTTTTCTTGATATTCTCTGAGTGTCTAAGGCATTTTTTTATTATGAATTTACTAATGCAACATCATAGTTGTGAAATTGATAAGTAATGTGCTTATTACACTAATAATTTTAACTTAATGCAAATTTCTTCGGTTCAACAAAAATAAAATCTTATTGAATTTCGGTTTCAACAAAAATAAAATCTTATTGAATTTAAATTTTCTTAATTTTTAAGTTCTTTTAATTTCTACTAATGACTATATGTAAGTATGTATGTATGTTTTATAATGCATTTATACACATACAAAATACAAACTTAATTATCTTCGATGGTTTGTTTGCAAATCGTAAAAAATGTTGGCAGAATATTTGCAATAACGAATTTTTTTTAAAATCAAAGCTACCACTAGAGCTTTTATTATACTGAACACGTATATATGTATGTGCATATGTATAAAATACTTAATGTTTTTATGTATGCATGTACACACATACATATATAAGTTTCAATGTACATGCCCAATAATTATTGCGCGACTCTAATTTAACACCTTTTTATCTTCGTGTCCAAACTTCTTGTTTATAAGATTGAATTGAAAACAATAGGAGTCAACAATACTGTATAATATTGTGTCTAATATGCCAATATACACGAAAATTAGTTAAAAAATCATGTGAAATTGCTTTTGGAGTTGTTTTCCGTACATACCTACTTATATTATTTTCCCGAATACCTGGGTGTGCATTCATAGTAGTAATAATATGTATTATGTTAATTTACATTTCGATTTTTTTTAATATGTCGTTTATTTTTATTCTGATGTTCTACATCGAAAACGGACTGCTAACAAAACTTCTTATTTAAAATAATATGATTAGTTTGAAATAATATTAAAGTCTCTTGACATTGTACCCTTTTCCAAAATTTATCGAATAGGTACGCAGTTAAAAAGTAAAACAAAAGCAGACCGTGTAGTACAAAAATTGAGAATGCTTTTTATATGAGCGGTTTCAAAACTTTGCTGTAAAACTGTTTAGACGCTATTTAAACTGTATTAGAACATTTTATGCTGCGTTTTGGAAGTCACGCTATATTTTCGTACATACATAATATGTTAACCCGTACAGTAGATCTTCAGGTGCATTAGTTACATGCAAATAAATGAACGATCAGTTTTGTGAAAACAAAAGTAATTGACTATTTTGTTATATTGCCTAACGCCTACTTACATACATACATACATAATATGTGAAAACAAAAGTTTTAATATAAAACGTAAAAATATGTAATGTACATAATTTTCCAAAGCAAGTTTACATTAAAAGAAAATATTTATGAATTTATTAGCTATAAGTGAAACCATTTGTAAATCAATCAAAAAATGTTTCAATTATGTACCTACGTTTTAGTGTATTTCAATATTGTCACTTATATTGACAATAATTTTTATGACATTTAGTTCATATAAGTATGAAACTACAGAATGTATGTATTATGTATGTAAGTTTAATTCATAATCTTTTTGCAATATATGTACATATGTTTAATATGAATGCGAAGAAACGTGTTCCAGGTAGAAAAGAAATCAATATTAATTTATTAACTTTTCCAATCTCTTAAAAAGTTCGCTCTTAGCTCTATACTAATTCGCTCTTCTTTTGTTAGGGAAATGCGGTGAAAATTCGCGCGAATATTTTGTGGAGAGCTAGGAATTCGTTGGGGCATATGAATTCAAAATAAAACAAAGCAGCTTTGGTTTTTTACATTCCTAAAACAAAGAGGTAACCGTGCTCTGTAAATTCAGGGCAATGAATACTTGTAAGCTATATTTTCGAAATTAACAAAAATTGCAATATTTTGTAAAGAGTTTTTGAAAACTACTTAAAAGTAAATATAAAGTTACGAACATTTTTGTTCATGGGAAGTTTCTTTAAATTAATAAAAAAATTTTACTCTTATTTTTTTTTTACTAAAACTTAAATTTAAAGCTTTTCACCACTCAAATTTAATACTACGATGTTGTACAGTATTTACCAGGACAAGCACTTTATGTTTTTACTTTTCAGCCAATTAATGTGTTGATATTGTATTTTTGAATGCGAAAATCAAATTACATGGATAAGTTAAAATAAAATATAGAAACATGTTATCTCTGGAATATTTATACAATATGTATACGTACACATATATTTACAATAATAATTAAACCACATAGTGCACATTCACATGACTTGGATTCCAAAACCAAAATTTCATAAAGTAATTTTTTTTGTGTAACTTACGCATATAGACGCATACATATGTGCGTACGTGTTCATATGTATGTAGCATTCCAATAAGAATTCGATAAATGTTCATCAATTATTGTTTGTTATATCGCTTTGATAAAATATTTTTATTTTCGCATAACTTTTCAAAAATATTGTCCAAATTTATTAAAGTTTTCTCTTTTCCTTTTTAAAATCATCTCTGTTCACGTTATATCATTTGTCAGTACACAAAAAACGTTAACGTATTTTTGACTTTGACACCTATCAAAGACTAAACAACAAAGATACAAGAGCAATATGTAAGGTAGCGTTTTTTTTTTGTGCGTATGTTACTCTAGTCTATTGTGTTTTACCTTTAGTCGTGCAGAATGTAGCACAAGCTGCTAATATTTTAGTAATACATGTTTGAAATTTGCATATTCGACTTCTGCTTGTTTCTTTTCTTTATATATGTATAAGCATTTGTAAATAAGTATGTGCATAATATAGAGTTATTTAAATAATATGCACTTTTAAATTCACATTATTTATAAGAATAAGAACTGTTTATGAGAATAACACATCTATACATTTCTGTTCATAGTACGAGTAGAGTACGTGTATTTTTTTATTGCTTGTTTTGTATTCTTTTTCTTCTTTTTATTATTTTCACAACAAAATGAACAGATTCTATATACAAACAAACATATCAAGTCATATATGAATAAATATGAAATATTAATATGTATATAGATATGTAATATATTCATATATTTTTCTGTCGATTGTCGGTTTTTCTCAAATATACAAAATTCACCACTTTGTTTTCGTCATCGAAAACATGCTGTTCATCATGGTGAATAGTTGGCTGCAAAGCAAAAATAAACTTGGAAAAATATCTAAAAAGAAAGTTTTTGAATTAAAAATATTTTAGTATAGAAGTAACCGTCCGAGTGGTTGAACGTAAATAAATTTTTAAATTTTAAAAATTTTTTCGATTTTGAAGTATAAAAAATAAACGTGTTTGACACAAGGTTGGATTTTTTGTTTTCGACTTTTGATAGGTTTTTTTTTTTGAATATTTTATTGTTTTTGTCAATTTATTTTTATAAGTGTGTATGTGGCTGTAAAGAAAAAAAACAAGATTTATTTTAACATACACGAAAACACTGAAAAAAAAAGAAAAGAAAAAAAAAAATTGAGAAGATCGTCATTTTTATTTTATTTTAGAAAATAATAAAGTGCCTAATAATAATATCTACATACATATACATATATTTATTTTGATATGTTTTATTTTAATTAAAATTTAATTTAAAGTGAATTAAATAATTTTTTCCAAATAAAAACTAAATAAACTATTGAAAAAAAAAAACAACTGTACAAACATACATACATCAATCACTACTACTGTGATTAGTGGATTTCGTTCTTTTCCCTAATATGAAAATTAATTTGAACAATTTTTAATAACTCATGGATAAAATAATAAAATTTTTGCGCTTATTACTAACTGAATAAAAGAAAAAGCTTATTTTTAATTTATTTTACTAATAATTGATTTGGATTAATCATCAGATTTTGCGCATTTACAATATTATTGGAATGCTTAGCAAGATTATCTGGTTATTTTTTTGTTCAGTTCAGTAATGATCGCAAGCTTTTTATATAATTTCAATACATGCACATGTACATTCTTAGTACTAGATTATTTTAGAATAAGAGATACAAATTCAAAATTTTTCCAATTTTTTCAATTTCTTATTGATTTTCATTAAATTTGAATTTAAAATTTTTGTAGGCATCGAGTTCTGCATTCAAGAAAAAAGATAAGATTTGATTCTAAAAAAGAAAACAAATAATAATAACCCTTATATAAAACTAATTTTTATAATATTAAATAAAAAGTAAAAGAATAAATAAGAAAAATCAATCAAAATGGGTTGTGGAATGTCTATGGTTAAATATATATTATTCCTCTTCAATTTATTATGCGCGGTAAGTTCAATTTAATTATTTTTTATTTAATTTTATTTTGGGTTTTTTTTTAATAGATTTTTTGGTTTTCTTTATTATTTTTTTTTGGTGTTTGTAACTAAAAATACTGTATTATATATAATATATGTGTACATAACATACAAAATCTATAAATATAATGTATAAAAATAAATCTATAAATATAATGTACTACCTACCTGCCTATACATACTTATACTATTTGTACCTATGTACGTAAATGTATGTGTATTTATATATATATATATATGTACACACATTCATATATGAATGGATATCTATGCATATCTATTTACCTTTAACAATTATAGTTTTTGTTTTTCAATTTTAATCATGTGATCTTATGATATTTCTGACATATCTGTGAGCCACTATGTAGGTATATTAAAGAAATATTGAAAACGCTCCCACGAATATTGTAAGTTAAATAGCTAATTTTTTACAATCTGGAAGAAATTCTATTTAAGTAATTATGAAATTATGCCTATAATTCCCGCTGTTTACTAAATTTTTAAAAATTACAATTTAAATAATCGAATTTTGTTGAAAAATATATTGACAGATTGTTCTAGAGGGCTTCTTGTTAATCATTCAGTTAATTGTGCTTTCATTGCAAGTTATATAGACTGCAGAGTCTACATAATGCACTACATAATTATGTTTGTCTTTTAGTTTTGCTTGTACTTTTTGCGTTCATAGTTTTTATTTGTATTTGTAATTTATTTGATTTGTGAAGTTAATGAGGGAGCAATATTACAGAGTTTATTGAAAATATATTTGAATAGCTGTATAAGTTTTGTATAATGGGTATACCAAGCGAATTTATAAATAATCATTAAGTATTTATCAAATTTTAATAATTATTTTACTGTAATTACTCCGAAGGTTCAAACATTTAGATTACATTTAAACTCGATGTCGTTTTTGTAATTTTTTTGTGTTTTCCTCGGAATTTTAAATAGTGATTTTTTAAGAAAACTGATAAGTTCAAAAGCCTTATGGAATTTAATGATATTTTTTTTTCTTTTCTCTTTCTGTGTTTTTAATGGAATTATTTTTTATTTACAAATTTACATATGTACGTATGTATATAAGTTTCAACCGATAACTTTTTTGTGTTATAATTTAAAGTTTAATTTCGAAAATAAGCAAATAATATGCTAATCAAAAAAATTTGAGTAAATAAAGACAGAAAATAAATGAGTAAGCCAAAATAATGAGATCATATAAAGTTTAAATGAATACTAGACATTGTGTGCTTGTCTACCTACACAAATGAATGCTTATTTACACACTTATATATATATACATATAAATTGGTTTACGGTTTAAATTTTTAAATTATTATAATTGAGTTGTTTGTCACGATCATGTTTTTCCCCTTTCATTAAAATATTGTAAATACCCACAAACTTTGTCTGTTCTCTTTTTTGTTAAAATAAATAAATAAATATGGTAAATTCTTCTATCTAATCATATAATATCTGCGTAAATTTATTAATATTATTTAAATTTATTAGTTATACACGATTAAATATTGAAATTTTGTGTTCATTTTGCTTGTATATCAATAAATTCATATCATAAATATCAACAACTATATGTATATATATATATATATATATATATATATATATACATATATATATATATATATATATATACATATATATATATATATATATATATATATTCATTTTTAAGTAAGAACCTACTTGTTATAAAGCAATAATGATGAAAACAAATATTTTGAGGTTTCGTTTTTTGCTAATGTTTCATCAGATGCAATATATTGTGCCGCAAAAAAATATAGCAATTTTGCAATTTATTTAACCAGTTAATCATAAACTTACAATGATTTTTTCTTTGTAATTTTAAAAGCGAAAATTAATACTTCTCCAAGTGGCGAATATGGTTTGAAAATTAAACAAACCTAAGTATTTAATTCTTTCAATTTTATCAATAATTTATAACCAGTATTGATATTAATTTAAGAGGAAGCATTCATATACTTAGGCTTCTTTTCTTGGAAAATAATTATTTATACTATCAATTCTGAAGTATAATATTCTTATGAATCATTAAATTGATCGGAAATAGATTACTTGTCATTGATAAATTTATTTTTATTCTGTGATGAAACAAAACACATACATACTTAATATTAACCATAAAAAATTGTGAAACTTATTTATTAGAATTTTAAAAATACAAATTATTAGGAATTTAATCTATTTAACTTGAAATAATAATAATTTTTTAAACAATAGCTTTTAATTAAAAAAAAAAATTCAGTTTTCGGTCACATGAGTCTCTACATACCTACCTTCATATTTTATGGAGATTGTGAGTTATTTTATTGTAATGTCCAAGCTAAGGTGAATCAATAAAACGTGATTAGAAAATTTTATATAGAAAAATTGCAAAATTCTAAGCATGAATTAAATTTTAATTTTCGCTAATTTATTTTTAAGTATGCACAAGTACTTATACCTATATATTTACATTACATCATCTTCAATTAGTTTTAACATGAATATTTTTTAAATTAAAGCATAGGGACTTCTGGCTTTTGAAATGTGCCTTGATTATGCCTTAACAAAGAATATTGTTTATAAATTTATGAATTAAAATTAAAATAGTAAGGTCATTTCCCAAATTTTTATTTTGAAATTTAATTTATTACAATGAATTTAAAATAAAATTAATGCATAAATAATATTATTTTTATATTAGTTTGTTTTAATTAAGTACTTATATGTGTACTTGGTTGAATGGTTTATTTGTTTTCTTATTTTATCCTAATTAATTATTTTCTATACGTATACTTACATATATTTATGCCTTCTTATTGATTTAAATGAATTAAAGTTGCACAAATATAATTTTTATAGATTTATACAGTTTTATAATTAAATAATAATATTTTCAGAGCAAATATTTAATCGAAATTAAATAAATATAATAAGTAAATTAATCAGAAAAAAGAAACACTTTCATTTTTATCACATAGTTATTTACATTTAAAAAAAAATGATAAAAAGGTATTTATTTAATTATAAAATTTCTGAATAGTAAGAAAAAGGGCAATTAAAATTTGATTTCAATTTAAATATACCTTAAAGTCAAACATAAATAACTACCGACTATTGTGTTTTTTTTGTAGCACCGAAATAAGTACCGGCTATTGTTTATTTGTAACTACATTTTAATATACGGTAATTACTTATTGAAAAAAAAACAAAACAAAACTTTTGCAATTAAAATTCACACTGCCTTAATTACTATTGCAAATATTTTTAACATTATAGTTACAAAACAAATAAATTTGCTTTGTTTATTTTATATTTTAAAGATAACAAGGAACTTTGTTTGGTATGTAGGTACAACTACAAAATTTTAACTGCTTAAACTAAAAGATAGAGTGTTGGAAAATCATGCGTACCTACCTATTTTTATGTTAAATTTTTTGATAAACTTCAAGTAAAAGTATATTATAATATACGAATAATATAAATTTTTTTTTCCAAATCGGTTAAATACATTGTTTTTAGTATTTCAAATTTTGGTAGGTAACCTAAGTATAACATAATAAAATTAATATAAAATCACATCATCAATATACTTAGAACATTTTTATCAAAACTTGTTTCAAATATTTTTTGTTGCTAAAATTTATAGAGCCATACATAATTTAAATGGTTTTTTATATATCAACTCATGTGGTCCCTGACGATGCAGTTTTATTTTTATTTATTTCTCAAAGTATCTCTATACAAACTTTAATATTTTATCAAAATTATTGACCACAGCAAAAAAAATTCATTGTAAAATGTTAGTGTTTATTTAAACCAAATAATGCTTTTTTTTTTTTTGTATATACAAAGTATAAAAAATGACAAAGTTGAATTATAATGTTAAAAAATTTTTTATAAAAAAATTAAATGAAAAAATCATAAAAACAGTATTTAGGAATTTAGATATAACATACTTTGCTCAATTTTGTACTAGCCCTCAGTAAAGATGGTATTCACTGTAAAGAGCTTCTTATTTGTTTATTTATTGAGAAACAATAATTATTCTTATTAGCAAAGAGGAAGCAAATTAATAAAATATTTGAATGTGTGTGTGAAGACACAAAACTTTGATTAAATAAGCACAAATTTTTTTTTTAATTTTTTGGCCATTTCTTTTCGTTTTTCATTATTTTCTTTCATATAATTCTATCGTCTCTCTATTATATAATTTTACAATATAATTCAGTTTATGTGTTAAACTTTAACCAAATTCTAAAACTCAAAATCGTTATTTACTAAATATTTAAATACAAATTTGATTCCTTGACTTTTCTCATCTCGATGAAAAAAATTAAAAGTTGAACATTATTGCTTTTGTTATAGCCGCACATATTGAATACAGTCGCTACCGCAATTTGCCCTTCCTGTAGTGCCGATTTTTTCCATTTTCTTTTATACTGATTAAATAGCTAACTGATTTTTATACTTAGCAAGTATCTTTTACCAATATAATGTTATTCCTTTTTTTTATTGGTTCGGCTTGTATTGAAATCAAACAATAAGCTGCGAAAATTAAGTTAGATCGAAAAGTGTATAAATTGACATACATGTATTTTAAAATTAAAGATAAGAATTTTAAGTAACAAAAGAAAAGTTGATTCATTCTTTAGCACTATTTTCATAATTTAATTTTTTTTTTAATTTTATTTTATAAAATCATTGTTCTTTATTATACACATTTGATATTCACACCAATATTTTTGACAATTTAATATTTCGTCTTTATTAAATTTTATCAAAAATAAGATTTAGTGATTATACATATATGAAGTACACATGTATATATGTATATGTATACATATTTTGTAAATATTGTGTATAAAAATGCTATAATATACACATGTACGTATGAATAAATGCCAATAATTTTTGTATGGTTCTTAACTGAATTTCTTATGCTTACTG